AAGTAATATAATGTAAAAACCTTCCATAATGTAATCTAAACTTAGGTTAATAAGGCCAGCCCAGGGTAATGTCTTCAACCTAACCACTTCTGAGTTATAAAAAGATCAGTTTAGACATAGAAACAAGCAACTGTTGAGGACGACAAATGCTACGTGAGGATCATCAAGAACCAAAGAATACCAATGGTGACCCACAAGGAAGTCATCAACAGGGCTGGGACCCTGGTTTGGACTAGGTCATTGTGATCTACCGCTACTGGTATAGAACCACACAAGTCAGTGACTTTGACTACCAAAAATGTCTTCGGACGCTCAAAGTCCAAATTCCAAGTGCTGAGACTCTCTGTGGGCTCTGAGGAAGTGTCCTTGTTTTCTTTCAGCAATTGTAGGCCCAGTATTGTTTGGAGACCTCTCTACTTCTTGGTAGCAATCTTCCCATGCATCTAGGCACGTCACAGTGCATAGACCCCAAGTCCAAAGGACGGACTCACTCCTGGCTCTGCTGTCTTGGTGGTAGTTGGTTCGCACCTTTCTGCTCAAGTCTCCTTTAGTCTCTTGTAAGATAAAACGTGTTGTATGCCACACTCTTGGGAATTGCCAGGATCAGAGTGGTGGTGGGATTAAGGGTAGAGACCTGGTGTATCTTTGTAGGGTAAACAATGGTCTGCAATGTTGGCTTGAACTATGAGGCCGGTGGTTCAAACTCATCTGCCGCTCCTCAGAAACCCTATACAAGGTTACTATGAGTGGGACAGGACTTAATGGCACTTACCAACAACAACATACCCATCCTTAATCCTCTTATTGGATTATCACATCAAATCACATCACATGGTATAGCTACATCTCAATTGCCAATCAACCCACTGAGAACCCAAGCATAGCCAAGTTGACACAGAACCTTACTATCACAGAAACTATGGGAAACTCAACTGTTCATTAAAGCCCCCATGTGTGATAATGACATTACAGCAACAAGATAGGGGCCATTTGGAGCTTTACGGGCACATTTGTACACTGGTTTCCTCCAAGGGAAATAGTACTAATAAGGCCTTTGGAATGCGTGCTTACATGGGGCTACATGCTGGCTAAGGAAAAAAAATCCAAGAAAAAAAGAACTATTGAATCAAAGTCTCATCTTTTGTCTTCCTTCCCCTTGCACTCCGGGCTCAAGTCAGAAGGAATTTCTTCTGATTCTTCAGAGTGCTCCTGACTCTTTTCTCTCATTTCAAGACATCTTGGAGTTTGATGTTGCTGTTGTGTACCATTGAGTCAGTTCTGACTCATCACCACCTTGTATAGGGTTTCCAAGGAGTGGCAGGTGGGTTTGAACCACCAACCTTGTTGTTAGCAGGCCCGTGCTGATCCTACAGGGCCACACCAGGACTCCTTTTATTTGATAATTCCTCCTATCCATTTAACTTAACTCCCTTCTTCTCATGATTCAGATCTCAGCTTAAACACCACTTTCTCCAAGAAGCGGTCCCTGATTCTGCTAGGTTGGCACTGCTGTGTGTACTTTGTCTCAGACCATAGGCCGTATCCAGGGCTTGGCATCCCCAAGTGAGGGGGAAGAACTGATGGAAGGGACAAAGCCAAGAGGAAGAAGTTAGCGTGGCGGATTCTTTCCATCTAGCATTGTCCAAAAGCATTTTCAACAAGAATGGAGTCTTCTGTATCTGTACTACACAATACAAAAACCATGAGCCACATGTGGCTATTGAGAATTTGGAAAGGCGCTCTGGTAGCGTAATGGTTTTACGAATCGGGCTGTGAACCGCAAGGTCAACAGTTAGAAACTACCAGCTGTTTTGCTGGAGAAAGATGAGGCTTTCTGTGCCCGTAAAGATTTACAGCCTTGGAAACACTGTGCAGGGTCGCTATGAGTCGGAACCGACTCCACGGCACATAACCAACCAACCAGTATGACTAAGGAACTAAATTTTACAACAGAACCAAGGAACTGAAATTTAAATTTTATTCAAGTGTAATTCATTGAAATATGAACCGCCATATGAGATTTACACCCTTGGAAACCCTGTACAGGGTCGCTATGGGTCGGAACCGACTCGACAGCACTTCACAACAACAACAAATATGAGATTAGTAGCTACGGTATTACCTAACCAGCTCTTACAGAAACAACCATACCCAGTGCCATGTGGTCTCTTCAATTCTGACTCATGACGACCCCCTGTGTTACAGAATAGAACTGCGCTAATAAAGTTTACTTGACTGCAATCCTATGGAAGTAGATCCCCCGGCCTTTCTTCAGCATTACTGGGAAAATTCAAATGGCTAACCTTTAAGTTACTAGATGAACACAATTTGCTCATGCCACCCATCAAAAAAAAAAAAAAAAAAAAATCAATCTCACTGTCACTGAGTCTATTCTGACTTGCAGTGACCCTAAAGGACAAAGTAGACCTACCTCATAAGGTTCCCAAGACTGTAGACCTTAAGAAATCAGACTGCCACGTATTTCTTGCTCAGAGTGGCTGGTAGGTTCAAACCTTTTGATTGTTAGCCAAGCACTTTAATCACTGCATCATACTCAGAGACCTTTTTAGAGCAAGTGTTGTTGTTAAGTGCCATCGAGTTGGTTCCGACCCATAGCGACCTTGTATAGGGTTTCCGAGGCTGTAAATCTTTACAGGAGCAGAAAGCCTCATCTTTCTCCGGCGAAGCAGCTGGTAGTTGCGAACTACTGACCTTGTGGTTCACAGCCCGATTCGTAACCACTACGCTACCAGGGCTCCTTACCAGACAAGTGTAGCCCTCTGCCATTGAATCAGTTTCTACTCATAGCGACCCTATAGGTTAAAGTAGAACTAACTACTCCTATGGATTCAAGACGACATCTTTTTGGGGAAAGGCTCATCTTTTCTCATGGAGCGACTGTTGGGAATAGTCTTTGTGGTTAGCAGCCTAATGCCTAACACACTGTGCCACCAGAAAGATGCTTGCCTAGAGGACTGGTTTTGAGAAAGAAGTGGCAGATGGGCTTTGTAGGCAGAATAGTCCCCTTCGACCAGGAGGGCCCATGAGAAACTAAATCTAGTGTATTAAACTGAATCTATTGTTGTTGCTGTCAGGTGCCATCGAGTTGGAACCCACTCATAGCGACCCCATGCACAGCAGAACGAAACAATGTCCGATCCTGGGTCAACTTCACTGCCGCTGCCACACTTTAGTTCATCAATGATGCCACCTGGCCTATCCATCTCGTTGGGGGTCTTCCTCTCTTTCTCTGACCCTCCATCTTACCCAACATGACATCCTTCTCCAGCGACTGTTCCTTCCTGACAACATGTCCAAAGTATGAGAGACGAAGCTTAGCCATCCTGGTCTCCAAGGAGCACTCTGGCTGCACCTCTTCCAAAACAGATCTATTGGTTCTTTTGGCAGCCCATGGCACTTTTGGTATTCTCCTCCAACACCACAATGAATCTAGTGTAGCCTAAATGCTGGCTAAGAGATTGATGATGATGCCCTGCTTCCTATTTGTAATTGTGCTGTGGTCAATGAAAGGGTCTAAGGGCACAAGGGACTGGTTTTCTGATTGTAACATTTGAGAGAGGTGTTTTGGGTGTGGGAGGCTTTTGCCTGTATCTGATACCTAGGGCAAGGGTCAGAGCTGCAATCTATTAGGAATGTCAACAGTTGTAATGTCTGCATATAAATCTGTACCATTTAAGAGAAGCCAAGAGATAGCCTTTGTTTTCTTCCTTTCTTTCATAGCAGTCTGCTAGGCTTTGTGAAGAGAACATGTAACAATTTCGCATCTTTTCCTTTAAAAGTTCCCAGAAACAAGTGCATAAAAACGTCCACATGAAGGCTAGGAGTCAACCATTCTGGGTTCCACAGCTGTTTTGTTAGACTTGCTGTCTATGCCTCAGCTTTCCCATTTGTCAAATGTCAGTGCTAGGCAACGTAATCATACCCAGAGTGATAATAAAAATAGTTGTTGTTGTTGTTAAGTACTGTAGAGTCGTTTCTGACTCATAGTGACCCTATGCACAACAGAATGAAACAAAGTCCATCACCATAGCAGTAGCACCTTGTTAACTCAGTGTTTACCAAGTGCCACAAAACGCTGGTAGTATAGTAAGATAAGTATTGGACTGCTAATTGCAAATTGGCAGTTCAGACCCTCTGGCTATTCTGCGGGAAAAAGATGAGACTTTCTGCTCCCATAAAGTTTTACAACCTCAGAAACCCTATACAGGGTAGCTATGAGTTGGTTTACCAAGTATTAGACCAGGTGATACATACAAGCTTTACATATGGCAGTGTAGGATAAGCACTGGACCCCAAGGTGGGTTTGATTTATAAGGTCAGTGGTTCAAACTCACCAAGTGCTCCTTGGAAACCCTATATAGGGTCGCTACGAGTTGGAACCGATTCGATGGCCCTTAACAACAACATTCACCATTTCGGGTGGTCTTCGTGGCTGTTTCCTAATCTCCATTTTAAGATAAAAGAAACCGAGCATGTGTCCAGAGTCACATAGAAAGTAGTGAGATTAAGATATGAGTTCAGCTGATTCCAAAGTTTGACTTGAGCCCTTTGCTGTGGCCATGGCTTCTCTTCAAAGGCAGGACAGTGAGAACTGAACGCTGAGGTCAGGTAAGAAGTGCTGTTGTTGTTAGCAGTAGTAACAGAAGTGTCTGTTCATCTTGTGAACTCTAGGTGTATACACTCTCACTTACAAACGGGGACAGTGAAGCTCAGAGAGGTTAAGTGTGTGCTCAGGTTCACACAGCAAGCTCGTGGCAGGAACTCAGAGTCAGGGAGTCAGCTGCAGCGCCTACCCGGGATCCCCGCGCAGGACGCGCAGAACGCGACGCAAACACGAACCCGGCCTTCTGGGCCACCCGGCGGCGAGCCTCCGCCGCGCACGCGCTCTCGGGCTCCCGGGTCGGGGCGCGCAGCGGGCGCGAGGACGGCGGCGGGGAGCGTGCGCGCGGTGACGTGCCGGGCGCCATGTTGGAGGGCTTGTGGTAGGGGCTCGGGGAGGTGCTCGCTCTCTCGGTCTCGCTCTCTCGCTCGCTTCCCCCGGCTCCCTTCGGTGCCCCCCCCGGTCGCCTGCGTGCCGGAGTGTGTGCGAGGGAGGGGGAGGGCGTCGGGGGGGTGGGGGGAGGCGCTCCGGTCTCGGGGAGGCCCGCTGTGGGAGGCGCAGGCTGCGAGGGACTCCGGGAAGCCATGGACGTCGAGAGGCTGCAGGAGGCGCTGAAAGGTGGGGGGAGCTGCCCTCGCCCTTGCTCCACACCTTCGCGGCCCCCTCCTCCGCTCGGGGCGGGCGGCGCCGGGCTCGCGGCGGGAGGGGCTCCCGGGCTCCCCTCCCCCACTCCACGGGCCGGGAACCCTGTGGGCAGCCCCCTCCCGCCCGCGCTGGGCTTTGTGTCTGCCGCCGGCGTCTGCGCAGGGGGAGGGGAGGGGCTCGGAGGCCCGGGGTCCTCGCCCACCCTGGGGAGCTGGCCCGCCCCGCGGCGGGTGGTAAAGTCCCAGGGCGGCGGGCGCTGGCGAAGCAACTTTTCCGTGGTTTCTGGGAGCCTCCCGGGCTGAGGCAGGCGTGCCCCACGCGCCCTCGTTCCACGGTGGGCGCCTTCCGTGCAACAGGCGATAGGGCAGTGGGCCCCCAACTTGAACTATAATGATCTCAGGGTCTGAGAATCATATTTCTAAGTCCAGCATCGTTTGGGGGAGCCTCCGTGCAGTAGCTGGTGTTTATTACGACGCAGACTTGGGAACTTCACTTAGATGAACTGTTTGTGGGGTCCAGGCCTGGAGGTTGGTGTTTGAACCGGATTCCCAGGTAGTACTCAGGCTGGTGTTCCCCGTGGCCATACTTTTGAGAATCACTGCGGTTGGTTTGTGGAGAAGTGGAGTTTGGGGCGAAGTCGAGTGCCCCCTTTTGGAGGAGTCTAGTTACCAATGAAGAGGGTGACATTTTGGAAGTGGAGTTTGGGAAAGAGAATTGTGGATATTTGAGAAGCTGATTTTTTTTCCTTTTCATTGCTTCTTAATTCGGAAAGGACTGGGAAGAAGGGTTTGAGAAGGTATTGGGAATGATGGATGGATTTTTGGGAATTAACATAACTTTTGTTTACTTCCTTATCTAGATTTTGAGAAGAGGGGTAAAAAGGAAGTTTGTCCTGTCCTGGATCAATTTCTTTGTCATGTAGCCAAGACTGGAGAAACTATGTGAGTTAAAAACCTGTACTCATTGTTTTGTAAACCTGTGTCATCAGAATTGTATAGGACAAAGGGAAAAAAGTGCTTTTGGAAGAATTAAAATTATTTATTTGTGTCAACCCCTGATTTTAAAAACGGATATAAAGCGTGTATAAAGTGTATATACATAATGTGTGTTGTGTAATGCTTTAAAAAATTTTGTTTAATTTTTTAAAGTATGTACTTTTTTCTTTCGTTCTTTTTTTTCCCTCTTCTTCCATTTTGGCTACTTAGTTTGGAAGAGCCTGAAAAAGGAACAGTGCCCATTTCATATAATCTTTTTTGTCCATAACCAATAGTTTCAAGTCATTGATTGCTTCAGTTTCATTTTGTTGTTAATATTTTCTCTTATTGTCCTTTATTCAGCCTTTTGGTCATATTTGTATATGTGAATGTTTTAAGTCTCATTTCTTTTCTTCTCCGATTATCTGACAAATTCCTGGCTATAGTTTTGAGTGTCCTGTAAACTTTCTGGGATAGCTAACTTGTTACATATGCTCAGCATTTCATTAGGCTTCTTTCCAAATGTTCTGAATTTGAAACTTACGAAGCCAGGTTTTCAAAAGGAACATTTTCAGTCCACTGTTGTGTGCATGCTTTGTATACCAGTTGTTGTGTACAGACTCTGGCTAAGTTAAGTTGTAGAGAACTTTGCAGTCTTTTGTTTGGGTGGTGGTTGGAGCACAAGAAGGAGAAAAGTTTCTTAGGCTCGTCTCTGGCTTCCTTCCTTCATGCCTGTTTTCAAAATACTTTTTGAGACCTAATAAGAATATCAACTTCAAGTGGTGTGTGCTTTCTGTAATTTTACTGGTAAGTGTTCAGTTCACACAAGATTAACTATGGTTGTAGTCTAGCCGTTTAGTAACTAGTCTCATTTTAGAAAGAGTAAAAACTGATAACCTAATGCTTGATTTGGAGTCCTGGTATTGCGCTTTGGGTTAATGTGCTGGAGTGTAAAGTTAGTTTGAATCGCAAAGTCGGTGGTTCAAACTCACCATTCGCTCCTCAGAAACACTATACTGGGTCGCTGTGGGTTGGAACCAACTCAATGACACGAAACAACAACAGTGCTTGATTTAAGGGTCATGTAGACAAGCTGAACCTGAGTGCTCTGTTAAGCATACTTGCAACAGTCAACTTAAGAACTGATGTTTTCAATTATATATTTCATTTGCATGTTAAAAATAGAACCATTTAGAGAAAAGAAAGCCAGTTTTTCTTTGAATTATAGTCTCTTGGGGGCCTGGTGTGGCATTGGAGGATAAACATTGAACTTGTTGTTACGTGCCGTGGAGTCGGTTCCGACTCATGGCGACCCTGTACAGGGTTTCCGAGGCTGTAAATCTTTATGGGAGCAGAAAGCCTCATCTTTCTCCCGCGGAGCAGCTGGTAGTTTTGAATTGCTGTCTCTGAGGTTAGCAGCCCGATTCGTAACCACTACGCTTCACCAGCTGCTCACTATCAATGGGAACTGACTTCATGGCATTTAACAACAACATAGGACACCTTGGAGTTTGGAGCTGTAGCATAAGCACTGAATTACTAACTATAAGCTTGGCTCCTAGAAACACTCTACAGGAGTGCTTTGAGTTGGAAGCGATTTGAAGAGAGATAGCAGTTTTAGTGTGGTGCTGTGGATTAATGCGCTAAACTGCAAAGTTGCTTTGAACCACAAGGTGGGCTGTTCACACTCACCAGCTGCTCCTTGGAAATCCTGTACAGGGTTGCAGGGAGTCGGAACCGACTTGTTGGCACTTTGAACAACAACAACAAGCAATAGTAGAGAATCTTAGGATCATTGCGAACAGCAAGGTTGGTAGTTCAAACACACCAGCTGTTTTGTGGGTGGCTATGACTCGGAACGTCTTGATTCAAATAATACAGTGCAGAATAGCTAAAAGTGTTTAATTATGTTGATAAACCTAAAAACAGCTAGGTGCCTGATTTCAAAAATACATTAGTTTCTAAAATTTTTGTTTTTTTTGTTTTTTTGTTTTGTTGTTATTAAGTGCTGTCCAGTCAGTTTTAACTCACAGAGACCCTATATATGGTTTCCGAGGAGCAGCTGGTGAGTTTGAACTGCCGACCTGGTGGTTCAAACTGACCTTGCAGCCCAGTGTGTTAATCCATAGTGCTTCACCAGGACTTCACATTAATGCTGTTGTTGTTAAATACCGTCGGGTCGATTCGGACCCACAGTCAGCCTCCCCGTAGGGTGAGCATGAACTGCTGACCTTGGAAGTTCAAAGACTTCTGTAATCTGATGCAGTAGCCCACAGCGCCACATCAGGATTCCTACATTAATACTTGTTGTTGTTGTTGTTATGTGCCATGGAGTCGGTTCTGACTAGGTGACCCTATAGAGGGTGTCCAAGGCTATAAATCTTTATGGGAGCCGAAAGCCTCATCTTTCTCCCGTGGAATAGCTGGTAGTTTCGAACTGCTTTGATATTAAGTGCCGTCGAGTTGGTTCCGACCCATAGCGACCCTGAACAGGGTTTCCAAGGCTGTAAATATTTATGGGAGCAGAAAGCCTCATCTTTCTCACATGCAGCAGCTGGTAGTTTCCATCTGCTGACCTTAATGTTCGCAGCCCGATTCGTAACCACTACGCTACCAGAGCTCTTGTAGGTCTCCACTATTTCTCTTGAATCACTAGATCAAACTTTCCCCCTCCACAACATCAAGAGGAAAAACATTTTACTTGTAAGAGATTTTTGATATGTAAGATTATATCTGTTTGTATATACTTAAAGCCTCATTCTCTGGTAGCGTAGTGGTTATGAATCGGGCTGCGATCCACAAGGTCAGCAGTTCGAAACTACCAGCTGTTTGGTGGGAGAAAGATGAGGCGTTCTGCTCCTGTAAAGATTTATAGCCCTGGAAACCCTATTCAGGGTTGCTGTGGGTTGGAACCGACTCCACGGCACACAACCAGCCAAAGCCTCATTTCTTTATCAATTTTTCAATTTTGTAGCGTTCCTTTTTTTTTTTTTAAATAAAATACACCGACCAGTCAAATTTCTAAAAGGTTAAAACATTTTTCTTTAAATTTAATTGTAAAATGTTTATACCAAATCTGTTACTTTGACCATTTTTAGGTATGTAATTTAGTGACATTAACTGTTTTGAAATGTATAATCAGTAATAAAGAACTCCTTAATACGTTGTCCTGCTGGGTCACCCAGTGGCCAGGAAATTAAACCTGTTTTTTCTGAACAAGTATTTGTCTTGATAAGGGACTTTAAAGAAGTTTGCTTTTAGTCAAGTTAGGTGTATATTTACTAAGAGCATTTTGTATTAAAGTTATTGGTGTTCTAAAATTTACTTTTTATCATTTAAAATTATGGATTTTGGATTCATAATTTTCAGTGTGGCCATGCCTTTTGATAGTGAAATTTGCAATTTCTGTAATCTATTTATGGCTAAATTGAGCTTTGTGTAATTTATAAGATTATGTTGTTGTTAAGAGCCTTTGAGTTGGTTCTGACCCAGAGTGACCCTGTAGAGGGTTTCCGAGGAGCAGCTGGTGAGCTTGAACCACCAACCTTGCAATTTAGACGGCTTTGCAGTCTGGCACATTAACCCATAGCGCCACATCAGGACTCCTTATAAGATTGTTGTTGTTAAGTGCTGTCGAAAAATCAAACCAACTGCTATTGAGTTGGTTCCAGCTCATAGCGACCATATATAGAGTTTCAGAGATTGTGAATCTTTACAGGAACACACAAACTCATCTTTGTCCTGTGGAGAACTTCATGATTTTGAATCACTGACTTTACTATTAGCAGTTCAATGCCTAACCCACAGTGCCACCAGGGATCATTAAGATTGTAGTTGTTGTTAGATGATGTATGATCTGTCCCAATTCATAGCTCCCCTCTATTGGGTTTCCAGGAAGTGGCTGGTGGGTTTGAATTGCTGACCTTGGGTTTAGTAGTCCAGTACTGATCTTATAGTGCCATACCAGGTCTCCAAATTGCAATAGGAAAATGCGTTGTTAAGTGCCATTGAGCCAGTTCCTGCTCATAGTGATCCTATATAGGGTTTTCTGTGGAGGACTTGGTGAATTTGAACGGCTGGTGTTGTGTTGTGCTTCACCAACCTTGTGGTCTAGTGCTTATCCTGCAGTGCCACACCAAGACTGTAGGAGATGGCATTGTTCTTAAGTACCTGAGTTGGTTCTGACTCATAGTGACCCTGTATAGGGTTTCCGAGGAGTTGCTGGTGAACTTGAACTGCTGACCCTGAGGCTTAGACCGGACTGCGCTTTAACCAGCAGCAGCACACCAGGACTACAGGAGAATGCATTGTTGTTTGTTGTTCAGCACCGTTGAGTGGATTCCAACCTATAACAACCCTGATTAGGGCTTCTGAGGAGCAACTGGTGAGCTTGAACCCTGGGAGAATGGAAATTAAAAAAGTGACACTTTAAGTCTTTTTGTGTTTTAGTATTGAAGAGTTACCTAAGATAAGAATTGCATTGCTTTGACCATGGTCGTTTCCGCTGGTAAAGTATAATAAGAAAGTATTGAGAAAGAGAACTATATGAAACTTTATGAATGAAACTCATTTATAGCCTAAGCTATTTGTTTTACTTTAAAACAAACAATTGATTTGATTTTAGCTTTAGGGAGAATTTATAGAATTATAGGAAGTTACAAAAGATTTCAAGACGTGGAATACTGATTGTTAAGAAGAATACTCTTAAGGCCCTGAGTACTAGTACTCGCTATAAGGTAAGCACTGGACTGCTAACCGAAAGGTGCATTGTTCAAGCCCACCAGCTGCTCCTTGGAAGCTGCCCTTTACAGGATTGCTGTGAGTTGGAAACATAGTGGATTATGAGCTGGGCAGCTAGCTGACACGGCAGCAGTTGAATCTACCAGTTGCTCAGCAGATCCTATACTTCGCTTCCTTGCAATGGTTGCAACTCCCCCATGTACCAAAATTAACAGCATTTATTTTAC